TCAACAAAAGACCACCTTTATGAGAACGACAAGTATTAAAAAATCTCTAAAAATCAAAAAACGCAAAACATTCTTTTCTAATCATTAAGGTCTACTATATGATTCATCTGAAATGAATATGATATGATTTAGTTTACCATAATATATATCCGTCAATCACTGATAGAATGTTACAATAACTCATTCCTAAGGTTAGGCTTTTGCTAAAGCCGTTGTTCGGACCGACTGATGTGATTAATTATAAAATAAATATGAAAAAAATGATCCTACTGTCCGAAACGCAAAAAGCTATATTTAATTTGTAATAAATATCTAAGACAAGCCAACAGGTGAACAAGGAGTTCTTAGAAAAAGGAAATTCAAGCGTTTATTTCAAAAAAAGAAGGTAATTATAAATAATAGACTCATGTAAAAAAATCATTACTCAATATCAAAGTAACTGATAAAGATAGCCGTTATGAGTGAGCGATACAATTACTATAACTTAAACTGTTTTGCAGCTCTAAATGAGCAAAAAAAGTAAACATGTGTAAACCCAACTGAAAATGTTCAGTGCGCTGATCAAAAATTTCAAAAATCATCTAAAATCATGATCAGTAGTTCCGGTCATAGCAACATATTCACGAAGTTTTGGAAACAAATCATAAGCACTTGCAATAATTTTTTTAGATAAACGGCTGATGAGTGTGTCAGAATAATGAGTAAAGAATGTTTCAAAAAAAATACCAACATTAAACTGAGGAGAATAAAAATTAGTGAGTTCATGTAAGATAATTAATATGACCATTGGAATTATAGATTGATTGAACAAGGAATTCTCTTCTTACCGCGCACAATATGAAGAGTAGCTGTCTTCGAATTGAATTTCTTGCTTTGTGTGACTTCCACAGAGACACTAACATAATCTTTGAAATATGCTGCCGAAAACATGAAACTATATTGTGTGTCCTTTCTCTGCGCTATCTTCATTTATGATGGACTATGACCATCTCATTTGTACTACTGTGAATAATAGTACTGTTTTAATTGACCTATTTCTATATGACGTTTTCGAAATTATCAATGGTGGAATACATATAACTTGAATCGGCATCCAGAAGGCATATGCTCAATAAATTCAATAAAAATCACGATGTTAAGCATTTAAAGACTTACGATACTAAAAAAAATTAACCTATATAAATTAATCAAATCAGCCACATCTTTCCTAAAAATAATTTTTCGAGGGAATAGAATCAACACTTTCAGTCTTTCAATCAGGAAATTGATATCCACTAAAAACTTTACTGTTAATGAAAGTTATGCAACAAAAAATCAAATACTATATACACTAAACAGGAATGATATTGCAATATATAGCAACTTCTAAATCCATTACTTTAGATTCCATTACGTAAAACAATAACAAACCTGCAAATTTTTCACTAATTTTTGAATCCAAGGCCACAAATCCAGAATCTTCAAGCATCTCGCACACTCTCTGCCGATCGATTGATTCGTTTGGATGCATTTGCTGCGTACTCTGGAAAGAACGAAAAAAGAAAATTAATTTTAAACGAATCTCTCTTCTAAACCTCTAGAACCTAAAAGAGAATGCATGTCTTGAAAATGACCTGCCAAATATCCCTACTACTTCTTTCAGTTTAAATTATACCCTTAAATTTACCGTAATTTTCTGAAATACGTCGTTTTTTAAATTTTAGCAGCTTTGTAAACCCTGTTTATGAGAACAAAGTAAGTAAAAAAGAGCAAAAACTTACAGACCCATATTTCTCAGGATTCCACTGCAATAAGAAATGATAAATAGCATCAACTTTATGCTTTGGTATAGCAAACCAAAATTCTTCCCTTGCACGATTAGCGATCACATCAGTGGTCGCTGAAGATGAAGTATCGACTGCAAAGGGTAGTTCTTAAAATCAGAAATTTTTAATCGAAACTGAAATTGAAATAGTAAGTGTTTTTTCTGATTCAATAAGCTGCCACATAAAACTGGAAGCTGAAGAATTTCGGAGAAGTAGATGCAATAACTAAACACAGTATTTCAGATAATTCATGGAACTGCAGAAAAAAATACTAAAATAGTTTCTATGTTTTTGAATTTTATATTCCACCTTCACTCTTCATAATATTCAAGCAAATCCCCGAAATTACCTTTGTCATACTTTTTTTTCTTGTTGAGATGAACATTCATATAGTACAGTGAATCGGTTGGGATATTTTTTTCAGCTGCTGAAAATATTTGTGCTGGAGAAAGAAGTTCGTGACTGGGTTTGAATAAGTCCAGCATCTCGTCAACTGATGTCGCGCTAAAGAAACTGTAAAAAAAGATAATAAATTCATAAAAACTTTAAAAACATAACTAAATAAAGCAAAATATGCATCGATGCGTTCACTGACATTTACAAAATAATTCACTCCCCCTCCCAACATCGAATTTTCTCATTTCAAAACTCAGACCACTATCAATCATTAACATAATATTATG